GTCAACAGCTCTGCACCTTATTATTCAGCAAACATTCTATTCAATAAACTCCAATGGCTCCCTCTTATCTCTAGGACCAAATATGAACCCCTCTGTTTGGAATTTAGTGACCCCTGCCTCCCCTTCATCTCTTTCTAGGTGCTGCATTGAAGTTTGGTCTTTCTCTACTAGGTCCATGACACAAAAAAATGTCAATTGCCCCTGTTCTAGAGTCATGGTCTGGTCTGAAGGAAATAGAGGGTTAAAGTTAAGAAGGTGTTAAAGAAGATTCTCTCGGGTCAAGTGGGTATTTTGTAGGGCTCTCTTGGCCTTCCCAAGGATCTTGCTCTCAATTCAGTTTAATTCAGTTTTAAATGTGTCTTCCCTGAGTCAGGCTCAGTGCTATGTGCTAGAGATACAGACACAGAAACAAAATAGATCTTGTCCCCAAAGACCTTACATTCATAGTGCCCTTGCCTCTGAGAGAATCTCCAAATTACACTGATTACATCTCGCTTGTAGATAGTTGTTTGCATGTTGACTTTCCCATTAGACTGTGAGTTCTTTGAGGGCAGGGACTGTTTTTGTCTTTCTGTGAGTCTCTGGTGCTTAGCATGGTGCCTGGAACACAGTAAATGATTAATAAATGCTTGTTCACTTGACTTGATAACATGAACAGAGATTAGCAGATGCAAAGTAAATACATAGTAAATTTTTGTGAGGGAAGAGCTTAAGAAATGGTGAGGTCAGCAAAGGTCTCTCTTTTGTAGGAAGAAAGCACCAGAGTTGTATTTCTAAGGGAACCAGAGATTCTGCCACAAAGCAGTGAGAAGGCAAAGCATTTCTGGCATGGGGGCCTACCTGGTTAAAAGCAAAGTAGAATGTCACATGTGATAGACAAGACTATGGGGCCATTTGGAATAAAGGATGTGGGACAGAGAGTACTATGAGATTAGTTCAGAATGAGTTTGCTAAAAGGGGAGGAGCTTCTTACTTTGCACAATTTGTAGCAATCAAGCACCTGTATGCCTCTGATCAATTAGCATTCTCCTTCTCCTTCAACCAGACTAGTCAATAAATCATCAGACAATGTAGTTCTATGAATCTCAGCAGCCTCTCTCTCTGTCTCTGTCTCTGTGTCTCTGTCTCTTTCTTTCTCTCTCTCTGTCTCTGTCTCTCTCAATTTTCTTCTTCAATAAAACTCACTAGTGATTTAGTCACATACAAAGCTTGCCACTTTCAGTGTCCATTAAGTATTGAAATTTGAACTGTAAATCTACAGGCATCCCCTTGGCTTTTTGACATTTCTGTGGAGTCTGTTGCCATGGTAACCCTTCCTCCTTACCATGTGACACCCCACTAGATTTCTTTCTGGGATGGTCCATCTCTGAGACCTTTTCAGCTTGATAGGACTTAAGATCATAAGGTCTAGATTTGGAGCTGGAAGATACCTTTGTGGTCATCTCATCTATCTCCCTATATCCTCTATTTTATAGATTAGGAAACTGAGACTTAACTTAAGAAGTTAATTGACTTGGCCAAGGTTACACAGGTGGTTCAGTGGCAGAAACAGGATTTGAACCTAGTTCTTCTGACTCCAAACCCGGTGTTCTCTCCTCTGTCCTTTCCCATTCACTTGAGCTCAGTTTGGTTACCCCATTGGTGGCCATGCTTCAACATGGTATCTCTGGCCTCCTAGCAGAGGCTTGCTGTGTCTCAGGCATGCCTAAGCACCCAATGATCTCTCCTGAGGCCTGTCTGGATCAAGGAATTGCACTGTGCTGGATAATACTTCTGAGTGGGTGATCCTGCCTCACCAAATTGCTCTGGAGAAACTCAAGCCAAATACAGAGACTGGCTACTGTGGAAGCGGCACTGGGCCAGGAGTCAGAGGACCAGTGTTCAAGGCCTGACTCTGACTCTGATTATTGGTGTGACCATGGGCAAGTCACTCAACAGCTTCTTGGGGCCTCAATCTCCTTCTCTGTAAAGTGCAACTGATCATCCCTACTTGTCTCCATCACCTAGTGGTTGTGAGCATCCCAGTAGAAAATGGGTAAGAAAGCATCTTGAACACATTTAAAAAGGATTCTCTCTACAAAGGCAATGGGGTAATGCAATTTTATCTTCAGATTATAATCATGAGTTGTTAATGAGATAATAACTTCCCCTTGATATGTGGAAAGAAGCCTTTTGACTCACCATAGGCATATCAGGAGTTACTGACATACCCAGTCCCAACAAGTAAAGACTGGCCTTTCCCTGGCCTTTACCTATCCACTGCCCATCCTACACCAAGCTCAGTGCAGATGGTACCCAGGGAGTCAGCAGTAAGGGAAGTTCTCATTTCTGGTGCAAGTTAAGGAGTACGCATCAACCCTGTGAGGTAGAAAGAAGAGGCATTATTATCCCCATTTTACAACTAAGGAAATTAAGGGCCAAAGAAGTGATATGACCTATCCTGATCATTTAGCTGGTGCATACTGAATCCAGGTCTTCTGCCCTAGACAAATGCTCTTTCCAAAAGACCCCTACCATCAGAAGGCCAATACATATTTTCCTCACAATTGCATGTTGATGAAGTATGTCTCTTTCCTCTCATCAGAAAGGTGGCGGACAATTGGTATAGAATGAGACGTGCATCTTCATATATGACCAATGCATTGATTCCTTTGCACAAGAGGTGGCGTGGGATGATGGGATGAGTGTGCTGAATTTGACCTCGTGGGGTCTGGGTTCCCATTCCCATTCTGCCCTTACAATCCATGTGACCTTGGCAAAGTTGCCTCACTTCTCTAGCAATCTCCTCATCTATAAAAGAGGAAGAGGGACCCTATGGGCTCTTAGGCCCCTTTCAGCTCTCATTCTATGGTCCTATGAATTGTACTTCTTTGCTACAAGGAGAAGATCGTGTTTTGGTTTTTTTTTTTGGGGGGGTGGGGAATCCGTAAGTGACAGAGATGTAAACAACGCATCAATAAAACATTTTCCAAAAAAAAGTCAGTGTCAGCTGAGTGTGGTGACCCAGTGCCATAATCCCTGCTACTGGCAGATGCTGGGGCCAGTGGATAGATTGAGCTCAGGAGTTCTAAACTTCAGTAGGGATAGAACTAACTGAGGGTCTGGAACTAAGTTCCCTAGAGTGGTGGGGGAGGAGGGAGTAAACCGCACCTCCCAGGTCATAAATACAGCAAGGTCAAAGTTTTCTATGCTGACCAGCAGTCAGACCAGCCATCAATGGGCATAGTATTCCCAGCCTGGGTAAGACTGGGAGACAGTCTCAAAAAAAAATCGGTATCAAAGAGCTTCCTTTCCCTCTTATCACCTTCTGACCCCTAAACATGTCCTGCTTCTCATTCTCCCAGGGTCTTGTTCTAAGGTAATTGTCAGCTAGTCCTAACTACTCTAGAAGCTGATAATGAACTGAAGGTACTGCCCCTACTAGCAGAATCCATATTTTTAGGGGACTCTGGGAAGAGAAAACACCATCCACCATAAGTGGAATACATTTCCCCCTTTCACTATCTGTTGAAATCTTGTTCTTTCAAGGCTCAGCTCAAATGTCACTTCTACCATTAAATTATCCCTCCAGTTGAAAATACCCTCCTCCTGTTCAGATTTTTCCTAGAGAATCTAATTTCCCCTTTGGCCCTGTCACGTTCCACCTTGTATTCTTCTTAACTGTGTACATGTTGTGTGCTGTCTTGGAAAGACCCCTGGATATGGAGTGAGAGACCTGGTTGTGAATCCTGCCGCTGACATTTATCTAGTTGCCCTGACTCTGGGCAACTCACTTAAACCTCATTTGTGAAATGGGGATAATAATAGCACTTCTCTCCCAGGGCAGGTTGTGAACAGCAAATGAGATGATGTATATAAAGTAGAGCCCTTTGTAAACTTCAAAATGCTACACAAATACCAGCTGGTAGAAGAAATAGCATCCCCTGCTATGCCCTTAGCTTCTTGAGGACAGGCCTTATGCTGAAGCTTCTGTATCCCCAGTTACCATCACAGTCTCTTCCACATGGCAAGTACCTAATAAATGTTCCTTTAATTTGAATGTGTTAAAGATCCAAAGGAATGCATCTCCCACTAGTAGTGAAATTTTAGGCTTCATAGGAGGCAGGAAAGGAGATATCTTTGGTCAAGGAGACTTCCTCATGCTCCTCAAGTTACTACATAGGTTGCTACTGGGTCTATGTATGAAACTGATCTTGAAAATGGCTTCTGGCCTATTACTCATCCTTAAGCCCATTACCATAATGTTGGGGTTAAAATTCAAGCAGAATCACAAAATATCAGAGTTAGATGGGACCTTTGTTGTTTTTGTTCAGTCATTTCAAAGTCTTTGTGACCCCATTTGGGGTTTTCCTGGCAAAGATACTGGAGTGGTTTGCCATTTCCTTCCCCAATTCATTTTACAGATGAGGAACTGAGGCAAACAGGGTTAAGTGACTTGCCCAGGGTCATATAACTAGTGAGCGTCTGAGGCTGGATTGGAACTCAAGAAGATGAGTCTTCCAGATTCCAAGCCCAGGGCTCTATCCATTGCACCCCCTATCTTCCTGGTTAGGGCTTTAGAGATCTAAGCCAGCACCATCATTTTGCAGAATAGGAAACTGAGGCACCAAGAGAGGAAAGCTGACCCTGACAAGAGTTTTGTGGCCATTTATTCCCCATACCCAAATAACACAGCAAGTTCATTCAAACCCGGGTCTTTCATGTCTCAATCTGGTGCTATTTTTGGCATATCTCACTCCAGAGATGGTCTTACGTCTTTTCCCCATTTCACTTGATTTAAAGGATGACAGACTTGGCTCTCTCTAGGAGAATTAAATGTGAGGGAAATAAATCTGTTATAATCCCCCATCTCCTCCAAGGACCAAACTGAAACTGTGGCATGAAATAATGCATTCTGAGGTCACATGGATATGGGACAAGATGATGTCTTCAAAGGAGAGGGGAGCCCAGATGGAAATGACAGTTGTATTCAAACCATTTTCCCTCTTTCTCTTTTATAGATGATGGCCCTTATTCAAAGGGAAGTAAAGATTCAGGTGGTGCAGACACAGCCCTGGTCTGCCGAAGGCAAAGTATTCCAGGTAACGAGACCCTTCATCCTGTTTACCTCCATTCCTTTCATCAGTGAGCCTTTGTAGAATTTGTTGGCCCAAGAAATATACCAGGCCCAAGATGGAGTAGTGAGTAGGATGGGGACTGAGTGATTACACAGTTCTGATAGTCAAGGCAGAGCCATGGGTAAAAAGCTGAGCTAGTGTAACCACACAGAGGAGGCTAGAGCCGCAGAATCATGGGGATAGGAAGCCATAACCATCAGTTAACTCCGTGAGGGCTACATCATTCTCCCCCCCCTCCCCTTCTGAGGCTGCTTGAGGACAGTAGAGAAACACAGGAATCAGAACCCCTGAGCTGGTAGTAGGTAGAGTTGGGCTCACAGTGTGGCAGTTGTAGAACCAATGACCCAGGACGGACAATGAGATGGTGAGACGTGTAGGACTTCTCTTTGCCGGAGCAGTGTGGCTTTGAGGTGGGTCACTTTCCCTGTATGTCTCTGTGTTCTCACTGGCTGTGGCCCATGCCTGGAATGCTCTCGCTTCTCCTCCTCACCTCTTGGCTTCCTGCAAGTCCCACCTTTTACAGGAAGCCTTCCCAATCCCTCTTAATTCTCATGTCTTCCTTCTGTTGCTTATTTCCTATTTATCCTGTATACAGCTTGTTTGTGCATAATCATTTGCATGTTGCTTTCCTATTAGACTATGAGCTTCTTGAGGGACTGGCTTCTGCCTTTTGTCTATCTCCAGTACTTAGCACATAGTCGGCACTTAATAAGCGCTTAGTGACTGACTGAATAAATGAACTGTGGTGTTCTTGTGGAAGTTTTGTGTGCTGGGCTGCTGCCAAGCTGCCTGAGGTTTTGGTCACTGAGAACACCAAAGATTTGGGCAATGATGATTCAATGTCACTAGGTTAGAAAAAAGCATTTACTTGACAATATTTCCTAAACATTTTTTTTCTCATAGGCTTGTGCCTTAGGACCACGTAATCAGAGGCCATAGGACCCCAAGACCTAATAAATAGGGAGTGTGCAAAAGGTGAAGATGAAAGATGAGTCAAAACGAGATAAAAATTCAAATCCATAGAAAAGTGGGCCTTGAAATGGAGGCCACTCTTCTCTTGGTTTCTTTATATATACTTCCTACTATGGTAGTATCCTAGGATTATAGCAGTAAGGTTGGAGGAGCCAGTGGAGACATCTTCCAGATCATGCAGTTTAAGCTCTTCATTTTACACTTGAGGAAACCGAAGCCCAGAAAGATTTAATGGCTTGCCCAGGGTGACACAACTAATAAGTGTCTGAGGTCAGATTTGAACTCAGATTCCCCAGACTCCAAGCCTAGTTCTTTATCCACTGAGCCACCTAGCTGCCCCAGTAGAAGGAGAGATAGCATGGACATGTGGGAATGATGGAGCTCTGGTTTCACCACATCAAGCATTTACTGAGCATCTACTGGTGTTCTTTCCATTACAGCATAGTGGGAAGGGAATCTGGGAAGGGTCCAGGGAAAAGATAAGCTGGAGGAGGGATGGTCAGCAAGTTCATGGCTAAGGCATCTGCTGCATGTATGGGGGAGGGGTGTAAGAGGTAAGGCAGAAGGTTAATCCTTGGATGAAAGAAGATAATAAAAGGATAAAAGCTTGAAATAGTCATAGGGAATGGGATGGGGAGTTAATAATGAAGGATCATTGAAGAACAACAATTGTTTATTGAGAGTCATATAGCATGAATTTGTGGCAGGTGAAATCAACAGTATATGATGATTTTTGTCAGTGATGCTTGGAAGCTCAGAACCAAAAGGGGAACAAGATGGTGAGAGTTACCCAGTGAGGAGAATTCTCAGGTTGTCCATAGTTAAAGGTTGATGAGAGATAGAAGGAGAGCAAAGTAGGAGGCATGTGCAGTATAACTACCCACCATACTGGATGTCCCAAATGGAACTCATCATGTTCCCTGCTAAACTCACCCCTTCTTCAAACTGCCCCAGTTCTGTAGCAGTCCCCATTATCTAGTCACCCATATTTGCAGCCTCAAAGTTATCCTAAGTTCTTCCTTTTCCCTTGCCCCCTCATGTCTAGTCAGTTTCCAAATCTTATCAGTTCTACCTCAAGAACACATCTTTGCATTTATCCCTTTTTTTCCACTCACATCATCACCACCCCAGTTCAGTTCTCATCTGGGCTATTGTAACACCCTATTAGGGTCATATAGCTGGTAAGTGCCCGAGGCCAGATTTGTACTCATGAAGATGAGTGCTCCTGACCTCAGGCCAGGCATTTTATCTACTGAGTCACCTAGCTGGCCATAATAAAAATTCAACATAGCTGCCAAAATAGAGTCTTCTTAATGTCTAACCATTTATATGCCTCACTCAAGAAACACCAATGACTTCCTATTATCTCTAGGATAAAGTATACTCTTTGGTTCAGTATTTAAAAGCCCTTTACAATCTAGTTCCAGCCCACCTTTCCAGGCTCATTATATACTACTTTCCGCCTCACTCTATACTCCAAACAAATTTGCCTACCTATTCCCAAAACTAGGCATACTCCATATATTTAAACAGGCTGCTTCTCATACTTAGAATGCTATCTTTCCTCATGGCTTGCTCCAGAATCCTTAGCTTCCATCAAGTCAATTGGTGATGAGGCCTTCAACTAGAATAGCAGTTGAGTAGTGTGTATACAAAGTTGCCAAAGATTTTCATCCCAAATGGTTAAAATAGCAACACCTTTGGTTATCTGGAAAAGGTACTTATTGGCCATGTAAACTCCTCATTCCCAATAATATCAGGTCACTGAAATGTTATTATCCTTTTATTATTATAAAATGTAATCTTGTCTAATTAACTTATATGTACTATTTTAACTTTTATGTAATGTTTTTAGGTTTGTAAAACACTTACCCTCCATTATTTCATTTACTCTCACAGTAAGCCTGTGAGGTAAGAACTACATTTATTATTTCCTCCATTTTACAGATGAGGAAACTGAGTCTCAAAAAGGTTAAGTCATTTGCCCATCATTATAGTTAGTACATGTCAAAGCTCAGGTATCCTGACTCTAGTCAGCTTAGTACTATGTGTGAATATGTGTCAGGGTCAAGATGGTTGTACATGTGGGAGTATATACTACCTGTCCAAATTCAGCTCACCCAACTACCCCAGCCCATACTGAGATCCCCCCCAGTTCACCTCTTTCTATCACCTATTACCTCCTATTACTTACTACCTATAGTACTCATTGGGCAGTGAGTCCTGTTTGGCCTTGGGACATCTGTCCTTCAGTTATTACTTCTTTGGGGCCTACATAGCTATTCTGGGATGCTTCTGTTTCCATCACTAGGCCATACATGGTCCTTGATGACAGGGCTCTAGCATCATTCCTCTCTGCACCCCATTACCTCTTCACTGAAAGCTTACCCATTATAGGTGTTGAGTAACTATTTGTTGATTGGGTTATCCATATGCAGGAAACAGATAATGGGTTTGAAAGCCAGTAAGATGGCCTCCTTGAACACAATTACCTGAGTGTTTAGAGTATGGTCCTCTCTCAGAAGCCTAAGAATAATTGCCTAAATAAATAAAGAGGAATTCGCAAGGTAATGGGTTTGAACTCCAGTTTTAGTACACTTCCTCTAGGTAAGAGTCTCAATTCCTTCTTTTGCAAGGTTTTAAAGAGTCCGAAGGTGGGGCCCCCACTCCCCAGACCAAAGGAGTTCTCTTTGTAAAAGCTCATTGAAGCCTGAAGTGAAGCCCCACTGAGGGCTGCTAACCTCCCCAGGGGCATGGGTAGGGAGTGGGCACAAGCTGGTCTAAATAGCCAACAGTTTTGGTGACTGCACTGACACTGTCCTTAGCCCAGCCAGGAATGTGGTCAAGGCTCTGGCATAAGGGCCAGGACAAGGGGCAACTTGGTGGTGCAGTGGCTAGAGCACCAGCCCTGGAGTCAGGAGGACCTGAGTTCAAATATGGCCTCAGACACTTGACACTTACTAGCTGTGAGCCCTGGACAAATCACTTAATCCCATTGCCTAGTTTAAAAAAAAAATAAGGACCAGGACTAGATTTTTGTATTTTAGATTTTTGTGCTTTTGTATTTATTTTTTATTTACCCAGTTCCTGAACTTGGCAGTGCATCAGAACCCTTGGGTGAGGGCTATGAACTTACCAGATGAGACCTCAACAGGGAAACCGGGGCCTGCTGTCCATTGTGGGAGGGAGAGGGAAGTGGGCTCCTTTCCATGGCTTTGACCACATCCCCGAGTTCTCGCTCATACTCAAAACGGCAGGGACAAAAAAGGCAGCCAGATGAGGCTTGTGAAAGACAGCTTGTGTGTACTTCTGTATATTTATATGTTTCTGTATATATCTGTATGTGGGTATAACTGTAGATGGCTATGCATTTGTGTAATTACAATTGTGTAAATGTGTGTACAGTACCACACATGGGCACTAGTGTGTCTTTTGTTTGTGTGTATGTCTCCTTGAGGAGCCTGGCTCACCTTCAAGCTATGATTAGGCACTAGAGCTGGACCTTGGTGGAGGCCCCTTGTTAATAATTCCTAGAAGATACATTCCTATTAGCCAGAAGTCAGAGGCAATAGAGGGGTGGAAAAGAAGGGCTGGGATAAGGCAGAAATGGACAGATATTCTGGAGTCACCAAGACAGGGAGTCAGACAGGCTACAGGTGACCAAGAGGATCATGGGGTTTGGAGCTAGAAGGCATCTTAGATACCTTCAAAACCAACCTCCCTCATTTTAGAGGGGAAAATAGAGAAATTAAATGACTTTTCCAAGATCACAAAGAAAGTAAATAGTTGAAATGAGATTTGAGGTTTGGAGACTGAGTTCTTTAAATCAAGAATTAGAAGTCTGTCTTGTAGAGCAGGCACCTTAGTGTATAAATACCCCCAAGTTCAAAGTGAATTGTGGGTCCCTATCATCTACTACCACAGATAATGAGCCCCTACCAATGTGTTTACCTTTAGTAGTCAGCCAAAGAACACAATTAGTTCAAAACAAA